ATATATATATATATATATATATATATATATATATATATATATATATATATATATATTACATTTGTTGAATTTAAAAAAAACAAAAACAAAAAAATCAAATTATTTTAATTATTTAATTTTCAAAAACAAATATTTTTTACCTTTATTATTTAATTTGTTTGGAGTTTAATAATTGTTTCAATCAACTAATAATGATTAAATAGTTATTTCGACGTTTTTAGATTTTAGTAAAATTTAAAAAAATTTAGATTGAAATATATGTTAGACGAACATAACTCTTCACAATGGTACGATATTGTCCACGCATAAACTCTTATATACTTTGGACTTCCCCAAAGGCCTCAAAACGAATGGAGAGAGTATTCATTGATTATAAACTCATGATCATTCCCTAAATTACCCGATGTGGGACTTTCATCATCCAACAATATATATAAAAATGAAAATTAAAAAGACGTTATTTGGTGGGAATTTGAAGCTATGATCTAATCGTCTTTTCTTATTTTTTTCACTATTTATTTTTTTGAAGTAGATAAAAATTTATAATGAATATAAAAAAGGTAGGGATTTATTTAGTTAATTTTGTCGTGTCCATATGGTTTTAGAATAAAAATAAGGTTGTCCGTTTAATTTATTGACATCTTTAAAGCTACTTTAATTTAGATCATTTCCTAAGTAAAATTATGGAAAATGAAATTAAACTGATTTTCAAACATTGACAACGACAATATTTAGGAAACTCTGTGACGCTTACATTATGGCCGTTGGATTAGGTTGTGTCGGACGAAGCCAGGGCGATGTACAACGGCGGCGCTGCTGGTCTGACTTACTGGAGCCCGAATGTGAACATATTCCGAGATCCACGGTGGGGCCGCGGCCAAGAAACTCCCGGCGAAGATCCCTTGGTCGCTGGTACGTATGGCAGCAGCTACGTGAGAGGCCTTCAGGGCAACGACGGCGACCGCCTCAAAGTCGCCGCTTGCTGCAAGCACTTCACCGCCTACGATTTGGACAATTGGAACGGCACCGACCGGTTTCACTTCAACGCCAAGGTAGAGTAAAAAACATAGAAAAATTTGGTTCT